ATAGACCAAGTCGTTTAAATGTATGTAGTGATCTCAAAATTTATTTAGCTCTTATTTTTGAAATTAAAAGATTGAAGCTTCTTCATCAGATACTTCAGGGGTGCGACCGCCTAACTCATGGACGTAGACGTACTCGTAGCTATAAGCTACGCTTTATAGGTTTTACATATGAATCTGTTGATATTGTTTTAAAATTTTGACATTTTTTATTATTTACATATTTAATCAATGCTTTTAGTTGTTTTTGTTTGCTGAATTATTAAAGTTAAACAAAATTTACAAAATGTCGAATTGATACAAACAATGTTATTTCGAAAAGAAAATGTTTGATAAAATATATAAATAAAAAAAAAACAATTAATTTTATAAAAATATTAACAGATTCAGAATATTAACAGATTAGGAATATCGCGCGTAAAGCGTAGGTTATAGCTACGACTACGGCTACGTCCATGAGTTAGGCGGTCGCACCCCTGGTATGATTCTTTTGAATTTTATACTGACTTTTTTTCAAGTCAACTCATTACTTATCTCTTCGTTCCAAATGTGGTCTGTGGGCGTTACTCCGCAAATTCTACGTAACAAATGCATAAAAAGTAATAACTATAATAAGCAAAGCTTTGAATGAGTTATCTGACATTAGCAATATTGGTAATAATATAAAAAATTATTCTAAATGTTGGAGAAATATGTTTTTTATTACATTGTCGCATTCAATTTTGATACCCGAAAGTAAAAGATCTAAAATAAAAAATAAAAAACAGAGAATGCTTTTCCCTTACTGAATAACAGGTTAATAAAAAAAGTTTTTCTGCGAAGAAGCTCGGTATCCTCTCGAAGGTGCGAAGGTACTTCACGCCGGAACAGCTGTTTATACTATATCAAGCGCAAGTGCGGTCCTGCATGGAGTACTGCTCGCATCTTGGGATGGTTCTGCCAAATTCCAGCTTGAAGCGTTGGAGACCAACTTATTAATGTATTAATACTTCGCTAATTATTACCTTAGAAAGAAAATATTTTCATTCTATCATTGTTTGTGAAAATGTTTATATGAAATCCTCTGGACTATGTATTTTAAAAGGTAATAAGTTAATAAAATCAAGATAAGGTAGGTAAGTATAATGAAATGGATATCACGAAAATCATTCTAAAATAGGTATCATTTATTTTTAAATTTGATAATAATCATACATTCAAGGTTTGATAAAATCTACAACAAATGCATAGCTTTGCTTAGAAACAATGATTAACATATTTACGGACCTATTTATGAAACAAAAGCCGACAGACATAGCAATAAGATAATAATTGTGTATGAATCAATACTTGTTACATAGGTGCAAAAATAATTCACCAAAATTATTTAACCCGACAAACTTTTAACTGTGTAATTTTATCTTTTATAAAATTTAATTTTTGGTGCATTATAAAACTTGTTGTATAGTTATCGGACTAAATGCATGCATGTTAGTACCTTCCAAACAGAAGAATCGATCAACAGGAAGACGGTAATTCATTTAGTAGATAATAGATTTGTTTCACCAAGTGAATGTTTCAAAAATGTTCAGGGTCTCTTAAAAAAAGCGCATAAACTAAAAAACATAAATTATAGCAGTTGTGCAAAATAAGCAATGTTTTAAAGAAACTTCGGCTAATTAATTTAGATTTTAAAGGAAAACTAATCGATTTCCTTAATCCTTCAAAAGACAACTTGCAGTTCTGAATACTGAACTCCGAAAGCAAGGAAACTCTTAAATGTAACTGTTAACGTTATTCACAATTCAGTTGAGGTATTTACATTATTATTTTTGCTATGTTGTTTGGTTGTACAGTGACGTCTTTCTTTTTATAATATTCATATATCATTGATACCTTATCACTCGATATACATACGCAGATAGCCAGTATTTACATATGTATAATACAACTAAATGTATATCTAAAATTAAGTAATTTGGAGAAAGTATTATTCATCCATTTTTATTATTGTTATTAGGGTTCTGTGGTCAACTAGGAGTTTTATCGAGAGACTCTCTTAGGGTTTTGTCGTATCCGCCCGTAGGGTTTGGTCGTATCGTTTTCCCAGTTTCATTTAAAGATGATAACGTATAATAAACTTAAAAAAAGCTAATTCGGCTAATTTTGTTAATATTAAATAAGTTACCATAAAAAGATTAACACAAATTACATTTCTTAATAAATGAAGGATTTTCATAGGCCGAATGCAGTGCTAGTAAGAACATTATAATCAATTGAAGAAACATAATGCAGTGCCGACAATCAATCGAAGAAATCTTACAATTTTTAAGAGTACTTACCGCTCTTTTGCTTTTTTTATAGTAAATCAAAATAATTTATGTAATTTAGTGCCCTACCAAAGATTTCGAACTTTGTTTGATTAGAACATACCCTTACTTCACAAGTTGACAATGTCAGTGAAAGTGGCATTGTAAAATAATATCAATGTCGTAACCCAATTCGCGATTCGTGGCGCCTACAATGTAACAACGACTAAATAACTGCTAACAATATAGGCAAAAGTATTATTTTTAGTAGGAAAGGTATTTACGAGTACATATTTTCAGTACTACCTTAAGTGATTATGTAGATTTAATGATAACAATTTCAAAAAAATCAGATTTATATAGATAAGTTAGTACCTAAGTAAAACAGCTGTCGAAATAATTATAAACAATGAAAGGTTTTAACGAAAGGATTATAGAAGCCAGCCAATATAGACAGTCAAAATGCAAAATTTAACAATGTTGGTATATGTGTGTTACAACAAAACTTGTGTCAGCACTCGGACATTGTTACATTCTACAATTAGCTTCATAGAATGGTGACTTTAATATTTTATAGACAGGGACGAATAAAATCAATTCTATGTGAATCTAAATAAAATCTATACTAATATTATAAAGAAGTGGAGTTGCCAACTTTGTTTTTGTAGGGGATAATTGGTGGAAATACTGATCTGATCATGAAAATACTGTTATTTACGGGAAGCTAAATCATACGCGGGTAAAACGGGAAAGGTATAATAAGTGCGAGAGAAATCGCGGGAAAATAGGGTTCCTTAACTCAAAAAGAAAAAAAGCACTCGTTTGTCGGTCTGTCTTTACTATACGTACCTATATATCTGTTAGCTATATAGCTGTTACAGTGAATTTGCTCTGAAACATGGAGACGGAATGGTTAACACAACTCTTATGAATTGAACAAAGGGTTCCGTAACTCGAAAGAAAAAAAACCACTCGTTTGTCGGTCAGTCTTTACTATATGTACCTATATACCTGTTAGCTACATAGCTGGTTTAGCTAATTTGCTCCGAAACAAGGAGTCGGAATGGCAGAGGTAACACAAGTCAGAGTAACACACAGGACATATGTAACTGAATAACTCGAAAATTAATTTTAAACTTGGTACAATATACCACTTTTAGGGGAAAATTAGAAAATTAAAAATGTTTTATAAACCATATTCTGTAGAATTTAAGGGCTGGCCATGAATCTTGTACATAAATATGTAGGTATATTTTTAAACAGTCTCTGTATTTCAACTTCTTACTCTTTTGAGAATAATAAAGAAAGAAATGCGCTTTTATAGGTATAAGACAACAGGAGACTATAATCAGAATATAAATCGGTGTACGAGTCTGACTTGCTTATGTCCACTTTTAGTTGATATTATAAAAGGATGTACTAAATTATCAATAAAGTATAATCACTATATATGTGGTATTACAATCGAAATATTACATATTCTAATAATCCATTAAGCATAGTGTTTATATTCGTTACTTCCATCTATTTCTATGATGTGTCTACAAATCATGTAATGCGACAGTGTCGTTAACAAAACAAAGGTAACTGAGTATGAAATTTACCTGTGGACTTATAAATGGTCATGTTACAAGTAGGTAACCGTTAAGTTAAATTATAATTAAATAATCATTATAAAAACATAATTGGTTTCTGCACAAAAAAATGAATTTGATTATTTAATTAAGGAAAATTTAGAGCAAATACATAAATTTCTTTACAGAAAAATATATTGCATTAATATTGTGTATAACGTAATTACCCAATGAACATATTATAACATAAGAATCGAATACAATCTTGAATTAAAACATTATCAGCGCGTTAAATAAACATATCATCTGAATCACGTTTTGGCCATTCTAATAGATAAATCATGGTAAATAGGTAGGTATTATTAATATAATTTTTATCTCGACAATATCAATCACGTAACGTCACTGATAAATAAATATTAGTGAGGTTGAATAATACCTACTTAACCTATCGGCAAATAGTATTGTTGTACTATTGCTAAAGGTAAGGTATAAATACTACTTTACATTACTGCACTTTAAAAACAACCATGAATAAATAAATATTAAAACCTATTTGCTTGAACAACGCCAGATGAAAAATGCAATATCGCATTTCATATTACAATTCCATCCACAGACTACTCATTAATTTCGCGGACTCGATACTAAATAATGCATTTCAGCCTCTATTGTAATCTCAGGAAGTGTTTTTTTTAGGCGAAAACACTATTTTTGTAATTCTAGGTGAGTAAATTAAGCAATGCGTATTTCCATAATTGATTTCCATATAATAGTTACTTTCCCCTGTACACAATTTCAAATCCTTAATCCACTATTTTAGGTTGTGAAAATAAAATAAAGAAACTGTCTTCCTTCTTCAATTCATTATTCTTCTTTATTTACTCAAAAATAATAGTCAATAAGTAATTTAACCAAACCTTTTCCACTTATAAAATATCTTATCTCTACAACAGCTTTCAGAATCTATTCAAGACAAATTTATCTGAAAACGTCTACCTAACAGATTTGTTGATAGTAAACCTGATACCAAAAAATTCCATTATAATAGGCACTTGTGGTGTTTATATCACACTTCTTCAACAACATATCACTTTTTAATACAACTACATTATTTACCCTAATGTATGTCATTATATCAATCATTAGCCAAACAATCAAACAACTATTAATATTTTAGTGTATAATCAGGCGCTTCTATACATTTGTAAGTCAATGCGCAACCGACGTCGAGTCGAAGTTCCAATCAAAAAAAAATAAACAGCCCAGTAGCTCACATCGCTTGGTGTCGCAAAACAGTTCTCGGCCAGTTATGTTTTGGGAACGTATCGAGATACAACGTCGCGACCAATTTTAAATTTAATAATAATATTAAGAGTCGTAACAAACGCTACAATGACTTACGCCTTTATTGTTGTGGTGTCAGTGGCTATTACTTTGAAGTTACTGTTTTTGAGTTTCTCCATGTACTTTACTTTTAAAAGTAAAGAAAACCAAACGCAGGTGAGTGAAAACTGGTTACGAATGCATTTCTCAGTTCTCTCAGTTCAGGCATGTAGACAAATATTATAAATTTTAACATTATTATTTAAACAATGTAAAGGAACAGTAATTAAGTTAAGTGGAACAGATTATTGTATAAAAATAATAAGTTTAACAAGTTACCGTTTATTGTATTATGAAACACCTTGAAAATTTTAGTTGGATAACTAAAACTTACAAAATGCTATCATGCCATTTCAAAATGTTCTATTCTTACTAAACTAGTATAACTCGCATGAATAAATACCGATAAGAAACTTCGTTTTTTTTGTTTCTGAATTGGTGGTTTTTTCATTTTCTTTTTATGAAAAAATATTCAACATTGTTTTATGCATCCTTCTTTAAATAATTATTTTTATTGATATACCTATAGAAAATATACAATAAAAACTAGATTCGAATAATAAGTTATTATGCAATCTTAACTTAAGCACTGTTTAGGTAGGATATATAACGTAGGTATGGTTCGCGTGGCATGTAGGTACCTAGGAATTTGTGACATTTTATACCTATTCCAATTTTACTGATACTCGCAATTTTATATGCTTATGGTTTGTTATATTTACTTAAATACATAGTGAAATGCTATAAAACTAATTATTATACTCGGGAACAGTTTAGTGGGATAAAAAGTAGGCAATGTTGAGAATTATCCATACCTACACCGATTTTCATAAACCGGCCAGTAGTTTTTGCGTGAAAGAGTAATAAATACATTATTATATAATCAATAAGATAAAACGGTAATAAAAGCATAACAAAAATCCATATAAAATACTCGCTTACATATAAGTATGCATTATTATAGAAAATCATCAAACGTGAAGGTATTTATTGAAGCAAGCTGTAGTAGGCACCTACAACAGTAAAAAAAATAACGGGATAAAACGGAGTATTGTTAGATACTAATATATTGACTGAATGGCATCACAAAAAAACACTCCGTATTTCTTATTCTAATATTTAGTTTTTATTTATAACAAAGTTGTAGGCTAATATGGATGTAATTATATCCATAGTCGTACTACAATTGTAGTAAAAGACAAATTAATTGTAAAAAGTAGTAACGAAAGTTGCATTTTGACATCATAAGGATCAGCTAATGTTGTAGATATAGGTAATTGAAGGAATTACATAAACAACAGAGCTCCAATAATGTGAATCGAGAAATAACAATCATTTTAAACATCGTTAAACATCACCGGCGCAGACACTGCTTTACATACTTCACACGGTTCTTTACCTACCCATGTTTTCTACTTATCTAAAAAACTCTTCATCTAACTTACCCCTCCAAAATCCCTATCACGCTACGACTACCTCTCCTGTTCCTTTTGCGTACACGCTGTGCGCCTGTGGAACTTGTTGTTAGAAGCAATAAGGAAAGTTCGTACTTTGGGTTGTTTTGTTGCTCAAGTAAAGAGTCATTTGTTATCGCTATCTTCTTATTCTTAATACTCTAATATTCATTTACTTTAATTGTTTTATTTCCATTATTAATTACCTACGTGAATATTCCCGCGACTTTGCCTTAGAAAATTTCGAACAACTCCATAGAAAATAACAAACATGTTTTTCTTTTTACTTTGCGCGAGTCGGACTCACGCTTGGATGGTTTTTAAAATATTTGTATAGCTGTGTGATATAGATAGATGATAATGTGTGTAGTATATCTAGCTATTAATAATCATATAGTGAACAGTAAGCGACAATTGGAGAAGTGGGTATTCCTCCTTGTTTTTTATTTATTTTCTACATGGGTTGCCTGGAAGAGATTGCTGCTTTGCAATAACGCAGGCTTTTCTATTTTTTTTTTCTTATTTTGCTACTTCGTACCAATTTTATCCCGTATAGTGAATAAAGAGTATTTTATTATTATTTAGTCTTATAATTTTCATATTAGTTATCAGTACCTAACTTTTGTTCCAAGTTTGTGGTAGGTATAAATGTTGTTTCTTCTTCTAAATGTAGAAACAACATCTTCTTTTCTTAGGTTTTTTGGCTATTACATAGGTAAATATTACCTATACCTTATAAACACTTTTATAATTATTATCAAATTTTAATAAATTGAAGATAGGACAAGAAAGAAACGACGAAGAAAAATGTTAATTACCCACTTATAAAATAGAGGTTTGCCTAACCATACAACTTTAAAATTACTGAAATACCTATCCGTCGACTTTATTTTTATTATTTGTAAACATATATGGAGCTATAAGTAATCAAAGTTAACACAAACATCGAATCGGAATCGGAATTGTGAGCCTTTAGGTTCATGCTTGGATGTGGCATTCCAACGCTTTTAATTCCAAAAATATTTGGATGCCCAAACTTTAACACGTTACAAGAATATTATGTTTCTGATAATATAATACACATTTTTTTTATCGGTGGTGTGGGCATTATTTTTTACGGCTTAGATTAATCTAATCAAAATTATTTTAAAAACATCATTTAATCAACTCGATTAAGTGATCTTCATAAGAACCATTCAATTTTATTCCCATTGGAAAATACGTATGAATCGTACCGCAAATCATCTTGGATAGTGAAATATCGCGTAACTAAAATTTGCAATCAAGAGCTTATTTTGAGCGACGAAATGTATTTTGTATAAGAAGTTACATGGGCCTACGAAATACTCCTAAAGTTGGGCTGACAAAAAATCTGATAGAATCAAAATAATGATGTTATTGTGACAAAGAATAATTATTTTAATTGAGGCCTACTTTACTGTACTACTCGATGTCATTGTGGTAGAATTTTCCACACAAAAAACGTGTATTATACCTTCGTGGATATTTGTATTTTTTCAACCCACAACCACTCGGCACAATTGCTTCAACGGTCATTAATTTATTACCTCATTACAAAACATCCGCGTTTTCGAGTTATCTTTACATAATTTCGTCTTAAGAGGGCGCATAGATCAAATCGCTAATATCATTGTGAACAAAACAAAGTCCAAATAAACTGCATTTAAAAATAAGAAAACGTAAATTTATAAATTGTTGCGACTGATGAATAGGAGAATGACTTATTTTAACTATTTTTAAACAACATCAAGTACTAATGTTGATACAGGTGGTTAACTATTTTGATAAAATTTTAAAACTTGTTTTTATGGTATTATATATTATTACTTAACGGATTTCAATATTTCCAAAGATTGAATATGAACATTTAAGTACGAATCAGCACTAACTCGCATTATACAGGATGACTGGTAGACCAAAATCTTATCGGGCTGATACCTTAATGTAAGGCAAATATTTTTCATTCTTATGTTATTAGCCGTTTAAAGTTTCTTCTACTAAATACAATAAACTGCTGTTTATCCAAAATTACTGAGACGGCTACCTGTTGTGTGTGACAATGCAAATTTTAGATAAACCGAAGTCCCTTCTTTCAATGTAATCGTATAATACCGCGAAATATAATCATAAAACTTGCTTACGTTAAACGATTTTAATACGTGACTCAATTGTCTAATTTAAAATCTATCGCAATCCTTTCCAAAGTATAACAACTTATAGAATTATGTAACGTCTAAAGACGCAAGCGTTTTGGGAACGTTGTTGATTTGAATGCTAGTAAAAACAGTAACTAAACAATATTAGCGCACAACGTTAGCTTTAGACAATTTCAATTAACGAAATTAACGATATAGTCTATTCTATATCTATGTATATCTTTCAAAAAATCGTTGTAATCGCTTTCATGATATCGTAGCATGAAATTTGTAACTTATCTTTCAAATGGCATATACCTGCAGGTATTTTGATTCAAAAGTTGTGTGGTCGTTGTAAATGCACCAAAGTTTAAAACACGGAAGATGCCTCAAACAGCGCACAATGCGTGCCGCAAAATCGGAATGTTTGGATAATAACGAATGAAATAAACGAGATTTGACTGTAATGAATATAGTATGAGTAAGTGGGCAAACTTGACTTGTATATAGGTCTACCAGTCTCCTGTGTACTAGATACTACAATATGAAATCTCAAACTTTTTTACCTAGATATATTTTTATTAGAATTCCTCATTAATTAAAATATTTTTTACAGGGTAACGGTTCAACAAGAGATGCACACAAATCCATGGTGATGCCGTGGAGATACATCCAACAAATATTTCTACGCAAAACGTTGCATTTCAATTCAGATTCGAATAAACCAAACTATTCAAATAAAATCTGATAATAATAAAGTGAATTTTATATTTTATGTTTATCACTTTTTAGTTACTAAAACTATTATGAAGGAAAATTATCTAATATTAAGGTAGGTGCACCAGTTCCAACTTGCCTCCTTACTCCTGAACGCAATCGCGACCGATCAACATTACAATAGGGATGACGACTAATTTTTGTTTGTTTGTCCATCAGGTAGTGTTAAAAAATATTAAACACGTATTTTTGTCGTAATCATAAAATTACGGCGTTACATGGAGTTGAAATTTCGCATGACGTCACGTTATGGTACGTTTTCTACAGAACTGTGACGTAGCGAGCCCCCACGCCTCAATTTTAACTCCTGTTATCGAAGCTATTTCTTGTTAAATTGAAGTAAATAAAAATACGTATCTAATATTTTTCTATTATCTAACAGACGGACTAAATAGAATTGCATTTTTTTTTACCCAGTCGTCATCCCTATTGTGCGCACTCTTGATTGGTTCACTAGCACACTCTGACGCTAGTGAACAAGAGTACGAAACGGCACAATTGCAATGTCGATCGGTCGCGATTACGTTTGGCAGCAAGAGGGTAGGAACCTTCTAGAACACCATTTTGAAACCGAAATATTAACTTTGGCGGATTTGTATAACCCGACGTACGGTTGACTGTACGTTTGCCATATAGGTATATTTGAAGAAAGCACACACATAAAATAAAAATAAAATATATTGCACAATAAAAAATATTAATTATAATATTCCAACAGACTCCCAAAACTAATTAAGAATATCGACAATGTACATGAAAAAATCCATTAATTTAATGTTAACTAAAATCCTCCAATGATAAATAGTTCATATCTCTTTCATATGTAGCCCATTTAACTTTCTTTTTCCGGAGATTAAGTTTCAAATTTCTATTTTTATACTCAAGAGCTAACTTTATAACAAGTCTATTTAAGGCGTGAACATGAGGATGATTTATATACTCATCTATATTCATCCACTGACAAGCTATAACTTCAGATTGGGCTATTGATATTTTATCACTGATAGCTGTCATCATTAGTAATACATAAATATCAGAATTGCCAAACATCATATTGTGAGAATGTCTAAATGTAATCAATGATTGAAAGGCAGCAGTTACACCCGTCTCTTCCTTTACTTCTCTCACAGCAGCGTCTATAATGTCTTCACCTATAATAAAAGTATTGATATAAGGTTTCATCATGAATAGTTATATTTGTACACACACACACACACACACACACACACATATTGCAGCTTTGCTATTCTATAATAAATTCAGCATCAAACTCGACGTCAAGCACAGCACAGCATAGAGGTTCAATGAAATAAAATAGGTTTTATTTGTCATCGCTGATGTTTTTGCAGAATAGCACTGCAGTAAACATAATAGCACGTCAGGTTAGCACAATATTTCAAAATTCCATTTTTGAATTTTATTAGTTTTTTTGAATTCTATCTTCAATGCATTAAGATTTCAAATTAAGCGGGCAAACTTAAGAGTTTTGTATAACTAGATGCTAAATAACTTTTTAGAAAAAATAAATTGAAAAATTTATTATATTCGTAACCTCGGTATACTACGGGACGCTGAGCTTCACCTCGATAGTCATGTTTCATATATAGTTAGTAAGGCATATCAAATGTATGGATTCATTATGCGTATAAGCTGTAATCTATAATCTGCAACATATGTACACTTGCTTAAAGCCCTAGTAAGATCCCAGTTACAATATGCTACAAACATTTGGAAAGCTTATAACAAATACTTAAACTTAATAGAAACAGTGCAGCGCAAATTCTTGAAACATATCAATTACAGATGTCGTTTACCGAAATCTTATGTACAGCTTTTACAGAAACACTCACTACATAGTTTGGAGCAAAGTAGAATAATGCTGAGTAGGATGACATAATATCAAATAATCCGTAATATTTTTGACTGTAATGATTTAACCGATAATATATACTGCCGTGTTCTTAACAGATACTCTTAAGAATACATAATAAACGCCTCCATAAACTTTTTATTTAAAAAAAATTATAACTAATGCAAGTCCACTGACACCATTAAAAAATATTTATAAGCACTATCTTTACGAGACGTCAAATAAAAAAAACTTACACAACGCACTAAGTCATATAAAAAAGTAAATATCTTTATTTTATATGAAATCTTTATATTACATCAATGCAATTAAATAAAATTCTTACTTTTTTCCGAACGTCGTAGTTTCATCATCGCTGGTATTATTATTATTATTTTGTATACCTAAACTCTGTAACTACTATCCTGTACTAGAAGCAACCGAATTTGTTAATATTTTTTTGAGATAAATTACATGGGTTTTTCAGTTATTTTGTGGATCACGATGCTGGTTGTATAATTTGTTATTTACACCTAACTGTACATATTGATAAAACACATATTTTACAGTTATTTATTGTCTTAAATAATAAAAAATAACCTTTCACTTTAACTTTTTACTAATATTTTTTTGGCAAATAAAGTAGGACATTCGAGTTGTTATATTATTCACGCAATAGTAAGAAACTCGCCAAAATATTATTTAGCAGTGAATATAACGTTTACTTTTTTTATGTAACACTTTAATGGTTGATTTACATAGACCAACGGCACTGCCGGCGGACTGACTATAACCAAAGGCGCCAAAAATAGCAGGCAAGCGCCACTTCACAATATTAAACTATTCTATCTGTATTATATATCGATAATAGAAATCAGTAATTTCTCAATAAAAAAAAAAACAAAAAACACTATAATTCTTATTGAGAGTCGCAAAAGGAACACGCAACATGATCTGCGGCTTTGTTATGACACGCAAAGTCGTGGGTTCGGCAATGCTGCCGGGCTGTTTGGATCCATAATAAAGGTAACAGACAGTGCATTAGGTTACTACAAATGGCGAAATTTTAACGATTTTGATCTTAACGATCTTCACGATTCTACTATAATTAAGGTAATAATGACGGTTATTAATGTTACTTTGTCACTGTATTATCTAGCCGACGCCAAATATTATTAGCACAATAGCGTCTTCGCAGACACTGATAAATACATGACAGACTCCTTTGTTACTTTGTGATTGTGATACAGTAACAAGAAATGTTAAGAAAGTTGATATTCAAATAAAATGCAATTTTACACACAAAATAATTATGTCAACATTAGTATAATTGAGCCCCTGACGTGCTATAATATAAATTAACAAACATTTAAAAATATCTTAATACTATCACCTCTCTCTACATATCCACCAGGGAGTTTCCAGTGAGGATATTCATAGTGCTTCTCTGATATAGCCAGGACTTGGTTCTTATCATTGAAGACCATAGCACCCACTCCTAAGGTTGTGTGGCAAGCTGGAGGCAGATTTGGTTTTGAATCTTTTGGCAACCACTTGAACATCATCACGAAGTCATCTCTGGCATGATGAAAATTAAAACCGTTCTAAGAATGCAAGTTTTATGTAAATTAAAAAATATAAGGTATATATATATCATTGTTCTTAATAGACCTACCAACAGAATACTTACTTGAACTAGTAGAGGAATGCATGTTGTGTGTTTTATATTGATTTTAAACCAAACACATCTCTTGCCTTCTGTAGCCCATAGCTTCAATGACTCTGAAAATATTAAAGGAATGATTACGTTATGATTACTACTGGCTTAAAACTTACAGTTGTCAACTTGCCACTTTCGTCTAGAAATTTATGTTTACTACAGGGTGAATAGATTTTTATTATGTTTTTCTGGATCAGACCAAATTATATTTTATCATATTTTTAATTGTTAAAACGTTATTTATTTGTCGAAAACTGGTGAACAGATAGACAAAAACTTGCAATTTTTAAACGAAAGATAGGAAAATAAGTTAGGGTTTAATAATCAGAAAGCTATTATTTTGACTATTAAAATCTATTATTATTAAAAATAGATCATAGAATGTGTTGCCTTTTTTTTTGAAAACAAATTACTTGTTCTTTCAGAACACTCACAGTTTTAAATTCAAACTCCTCTAATTGGTTGAAAATAGGCGCATCTACCCTATTCAAAGCTACTACACTCCATTCATTATAGCATTAGACAGAAGTTAAATAAGGTTCTTTTTATGGTATACTTTGTGACAAAATATCAATAATCATGTTACTCTTAAGAGTGACAGCTAATTTGCTACATATCCACTTAAATACCATCTGCTAGACTTAACTGTTGTCACTTAAGTTATCTATTAAACAAATTTATGAGTATTTGACTAACTTAAATGATTTAATAACATTTACAATAAAAAGTGTTCATCATAAAGAACCTAAAGAAGCAGGGTTGGATAGTTTCGGCACGATTCTCATGTCACTATACTTCTACCAAATTTAAAACGTTGCCTAATCCCTTCAAACGTTTCGGCAGTACAACTTTTTAATTTTGTCAGACTATGATGTATTCATAATTGTCAAAATACGTAATCTGGGATTTTTTTCTTTCTTGTTGTTTTGCCGTTTTCCGTTATTAAATTGTTATTGTTTTATTTCTGTTTTGTTATAGTTTTGTTTTTGTTGTCAAGTTAAGTTTTGTTAAATACGGACGATGCCGGTGCAGGCCCGAGTGGAGTACAACAATTACGCTTTAAGCCCCCATACCTACCCTCAACCTTTTGACATTTCAGGAAGTTTTTCCAATTTCTTCACCAATTGTCTAATATCTGAGTAAATTTTATAAAGGTAATAATAAAAAAATCCTTTTGTTTACCTTTCTTTCCTGGGCATAGATATAACTAAATTCTATTCTAATTATATACACTTACTTACTTAAAATGCTGGTCTCATCTCAGCCCCGAGGTATCATAAAAAATGGAAAATTGCTCAGCTCTTTCAGACCACAAAAACGTTCAAAGTTTCAACAAAATTATAATATTTACTTTTTAAATTTATCTTGAAAATAAAATGTTCTGCACTGCTGCTTCTATGACCCTCTTTTTTCTCATGTTATAATCAGAGGTCGAAATCAGGTAGAGTTATTTATGTACTTGCATCGAAATGTTGATATTAATGTGGACCTTCCCGGGATTTCTAATGGACAATCCCGTGTGGCCAACAATCTTACAACTAAATAATAATAACAACGTCAGAGATAGACAAATAAAACAAAGATAATTAACATAAAATTTTTATTAGTTTACATTAATTTACAATACAAATTATTGATAGTCTTAAGCAAATTCTCATACGCATATTACGTGCGTGCAGTAGTTTAAATTGTGTAAAAGTAAATAACTTTTTATTTAAAAAATCACGGGATTTTTTCTGCTCTTTAAAATTAATCTCGGGATTTGAGGCATATCCACTTTATTCTTTCGCTGTATGAAATCAGTGTAAGTACATGAATAACTCTACCTAATTCCGACCACTGGTTATAATGAATGGAGTATAGCATATTTCCAATTCTTAACATTATGTGTTTATATAAAACTTTATTGACAAAAAACTATGAGTCAATGCAAATTTATTAAATTCTTACACTCGTATCTAGTCGAGAGGAGTAATGAGAAAATGTCAAACTAAGCAAATATTTTTAGCGAGTAGATAAGCATTTGAATGAATAGGAACTGTTAATAGATTCGATCAACAATACAACTAGGTGCCCGGTCAGAGTCTAAAAAACGACAGAAGAAATAACGCCTCACTACAAAGTAGAACTCTGTCGATCGATAATTTATCCTAACCCGGTTCGATCATGCGTTACTCACTAAGGCGATCGGCTTAAATGATTCGATCACCTAGGTCGCAATTCTTTTATATTACCGACAGAGTAATTCACGTGTCAGATTTCATCATTCACAGATGCAACTGTTTGTAATTTTGTGTCTCTTGAGGACTAAGGGGTGGGACGCTCCGCCCCGGGTCCCCGGACCTAGGGGTCTCCAAATGGCTGTAGCCATCCGCCAAAATCATAATAAATAAATGTAAATACATAATAAATACAAATATAACGCAATATCAAGTTTCTGCCCCGGTTGGAAAATGTCGTCACTGGTCCCACGTTAGGAGCGCGAGCGTTCCTTTACGGACTAGTTTCATTTGTTTCATGTTACGTACGTAAACAAAGTGAGAAAGAGAGAGGTAAATGAAGATTATCAATTGTGTAAAGACAAAAGAGATAGAAGATATTTTGCTTGTTGCATCACTGTTTGATTGAAGGTGTGGGTCAAAAGGTCAAATCCTTTACAGATTTATTTTTATTTTAAAGGTCGATTGCAATGGATTAACAGTCTTCAGTGGGACGGTCAAGAGCAGTTCTTGAACAGTTCAAGACAAACGCTCATAATAAACAATAAGGTTGAAGGTTACTTCAGAGAAACTGATAGATTCACCTTCTACTGGATCAACCTAGCTGGTTTATCGGTAATTTTATCTAAATAACATTTTGCCTCTCGAGAGAAAATCGTTGACGAAGTTGTAGAAGTGCATTAAAGTAAGTTTACATCTATTCTCCTATTGACAAGAATATCAATGCTAATATTATAAAGCTCAAGAGTTAGTTTGTTTAAATTCGCTAATATCAGGAACTGCCAGTTTGAATTGTTGTTGTATAATATTGCAAGTCGGTATATAATCGGTATTTCATTACATGTTATTTCTTCGACATGTCGTTTGGTTAATAAATTTGGGACAAATTACTAATTTAGTGACGCTGCTGTCAAATCCACGATCTTCATTCTTTATCATTTTCGTCGTAAAATGAAAGGTAATATAGACATCAAATATAGACAACATTGCTAAGATATCGTATCCTATGGCTATCACTCCATTATAAGTTAATGATTCGATCAATCGTGATCGACACAGGTCTACTCAAAGTAATTAAAAGGTCAGCCATAAAAAAATTTGGTTAGCCACAAAAATCAGTATTTTAATCGTTTGATCAGCATTTAAAGATTTTGTATGCAAGAAAAATAAAACAATCGGCAATCCTTGTTTCGCAAATAATCTTGATAATGATCAGTAATTTAATCATATACAGTCAGCTTAAAATAATATGTGTATGTCAAATAAACAGTCTATCCCCAAAATAACTACTTGATCAGAAAGATTCAGGATTGGTCAGCAAGAAATATTTGTCCGGTTAGCAGTTCATTTGATCGGTTTGCGTATTTAAAGCATGGTTAGAAGAATAACTAATTGGTTTGCATTTTTGTTGAAAAGTCTGCAATGTACGTTAAAAGTGGGCAGAGCAAGAGTAGTCGCATGATACTAGTAGCCAATCGCGTGCGTGTATTGTCATTCGGTGTCTATGCGGCGATTAGTAGCTGTCAAATTACAGTGATAACAACTTGTTTTATGTTAATTAGTGTGAATTTTGATATTTTGCGAGTGTTATATGAGTACTGTAGGTAGCAGCCGGGACCGACGGCTTAACGTGCCCTCCGAAGCACGGAATCATCTTACTTTCGGACAATCAGGTGATTCAGGCCTGCAATGTCCTAACCAAACTGGGAAAAACTCACAAAGAAATATTTGAGAGTGTCCCCACCGGGAATCGAACCCAGTACCTTCGGATCGAGAGCCTAACGCTCTAACCACTAGAACACGGAGGCAGTTAATTTAATTAGTTAGTTTACTCTAAATACCCATTCATTGTTTTTGTAAGGAATGCGCCCATTTTGCGCCAGTCATTATTGCTATTTTTATATGCTTCACAAAATTAGATTAGTTGCTTCCCTCTAAGTGCTGTTCAAAATTGTATTTAACATGCGTCACTCATTGCAGCTTATATGATTATTATGCTAATAAAAAATAATTACAGCCGTCCAGAATGTAAAAAATTGTCGATTGATTTGATATTGTTTGCTAGCCATGGTCTGCTGACCAATCATATATTTCAACTGACAGAATACATTTTTCTGCTAGCAAAAATGTGAATGACAAATTTTCACTCTGTGATTTGAGTTCTCGAGAACTTGTTCAAGGTCACGAGTCCACAATACTGTGTTGAAACCACGTTCAAGCTATTTTGATACTTTTCCCAATTTTTGTATTTATTTTAGTATTTCTATGGTGAGATTCATTATCGATTCCCGAATATTTTAAACGACTGCTCTCGAAAAGGAGTCTATTGTTTTTAGAATTAATGTATGTATGTGAGTATTTTTATTGCACCATAACTTTTGAAAGATATAACGGATATGAATGTACAGGGTATCATTAGAAACATCATCCTAAGTTACCACAAAATACATAGAGTATCAGTGAAACTAGCTTAATTATTAATATTAAATAGGTATGGGGACGTGTGACGCCATTTAAAAAAGTATGTTTTTTTGTAATCATAACTTTATGGGTATCAAATTAAAGGTCCATTAAAAATATATAATCTGTATACAAAATTAACTGCTCACTAAAATGAATAAAATATAAAAATTATTTAAAAATTAAAAACACGACTGCTAAGATCGGACAAAAATTAAAAGAAACAAGTTTAGCCAAATCATAGGCTATAAATATAAATAGCGATGACAATATATCAATAAAATTATAAATATTAATTAAAAAATATTCGTGCCATATTTTTCGTCGACGATTTCGAAATATTTTCGTCATCCATAGGAAACATGGACTGTTTCCTGTTTGGA